GCGATGATGGCAGGTGGATGGGATGGAAGTGAAGGGGATGCACCAGGATTTCCGAAAGACGGTTGGGTCGTTCGTCACGAAAATTTGAGTAAAGCATTGTAGTCAACGGATTCTTTTTGGGTAGTTTATGTAACTTCGAATTATTTTTGAGTAGTCAACGAGTTCTTTTTGTGCCTCATTGGAAAGCCCTATGCGGCCTCTCCAGTTCGAAGGAAGGAGCGGAGGACTGTCTTTTGAGAAAGGCTTGGAGGCCATTTCGATGATCTTGTCCACAGTTGTCGGTATATGCTCTGGTGTCAATGAGCCTGACCTGATAATCAAAGTTGCATACAGCATTGAAACATAAGTGGAAACAGATCGTACCATTCTCCGTAAGGATAAACGAGAAGATTGGTCGCGTATCTATTTCTTGTCAGTGACGAAAGTGTTCAGGAAAAAGAACATACTGATGGCCTCCTACGTGCCCAGCCTCCACTAGTCAACGCGGCCTTACATATGTCTGGGGTCAAGGACCTTTGATGTTGCAGTGGTGATATCGCGCTCAAATTGAGCCCTCTGCTGTCACTGTTCAACCGTCAAGGACGGTTGGTCGGAAAGATGTTCCAAGGCTTTCCCCCATGCTTCAATACTGTCGTCGCGATCATCGACAGCCTAGTATATTTTATGAAATCAGTTCGACCATCTATAAAATTACTTTTCGAGCATCGGAGATTGCATTTTCATACCTTTTCATCATATTATAACCATACAGTATAAGTGAACAAGAACGCACTGGCGTAAATAATAGTAACACGCTGAACGGTTAGCATACTGAATGATGCTTTCTCCATCAACTTCGAGGGCATCGGTGAATTTAGCCCTTGCATGGGCATAGTTCTTCTGCCTGAAGTACTCCTTTCCTTCTTCTCGTAGATTTTCTGACGACATGAACTGAATCAAGTGGTGGTGTTGATGTTGGTTGGCGCGTGAGTGCGCTTTGTCAAATAACGACGATGGGTAGCCAAACGGCGCCCATGAGGACCAATATCGACGCCTGGCAAATGGAAGGAGCGCGACGAGGAGCCTGTTAGGCATAAGTACGATTTAGTGGACCCTGAAGAATAGTACTGTACTGATGTCTGGAACCAGGTCAACATGGTTCGTTTCCAATCTTCTATACAAAGCGATTTGTAGACTTTCTCTGATATCGCTCCAGTTCGCTTAGCATGCGTGGTAACGGAAGTTGGAATGGGTGTCTCTAAGGGTGTGGGATATGTCTCTTTCCAATAAGAGAAGATGCACAGGCTGCATCTGACAAGATTTCTAAGGATGGCCTTGCTCTGATCAGAAGAAATCTACGGGTCCAATGGGCCGTTTAATGCCCTTTCTTGCCTCATCTGTTTGGCTATCGCGGCGCGTGCTACGTTGGGTAAAATTCCACAACATAAAAATGCTCAGGCGAGCACAATGGTGGGCGGTCCGGAAACAATTCTGAGAGCGAGTCCGAATCCGAGAGCGATGAAGAAGCCACCAGGAATTCAGAGTTAAAGTGCTGACATAACTGAGCATCATTCGAATACAGGTGAATCGGCAATTTCCGAGTATGCATCCTAATCTTTTTGTGGGTCTATGCCTACTTTCGCAGCCTATCATCGCGTTATCAGTTCCCCGCCACTTCGCAACAAACTCAATAGTAAGGAATCTGAAACCCATTCACCGTAGTAAAGCGCGTGTAGTCGCGTAAAGTTCGACGACTCGAGCGAGGTATTTTTATATAATATTGTAAGCATCATCTATATATCATCTGATTCACTGGTGACTTGGAAGTGTTTAGTGAGCTCGGACGGCGGCAGGGTTACTCTAATACATGCACTCAACACAACGTGTAGTCCTTCTGATGTGCCGCAGTGGTTCCTGTGTAATTGTCCAGACCTCTGCTAACGAAATTTCCCATGAACGAAGGTCGATGTTGCAGGCTTCTCCGTCCTAGCATCAGACTTCATTTGCTTCCGATTCATTTATCCGAAATGTCCATGTCGCCAAGGAAGATAAAAGGAGAAGTAAGCATATGACTCTACCTGCGTATGTGCGTGAAGAGCCTATATATATACAATTGCTGCTGTTTGTTTCTCTTACCCCAAGATGCTCATTGAAGTACTATTGCTCTTTTTCGCGTTGTCCAACAGGTGGGGCCGAATTTCTGTAGCACTCGCACAGTCGGCTACAGGAACGAGCTCTTCGGTAGTATCCACCACCAGTACCAGTACACTGAGTCCTAAAAGTATCGCCATGGCCACCGCCAGCTTTCCTCCAATCGGATCGATTCCTCGCAATTACACACCGGAAGGATTGGAACAACTTTGGGACATCGTTCGTAGTCTCACTGATCATCCCAGAAGATGCCAATTCTATAACTAATATCTAGATCGGATCTGTCGAGCCACCTCCGTTCACCACTACCCGCGTTCCCAGCTCAGCGGTCACCCTACCACCCTCTCCCCCGCCTTTGTATCCATCATTCTATGCCCCTACGCCTAAAGATATCTTGCCAGACTTGAAATTCCCAAAAGGCTTCAAATACGGCATAGCCACCTCCGCGTACCAAGTCGAGGGGGCCGTGAAAAATGATGGAAAGGGACCAACAATGTGGGACTGGGCTACCAGACAGCCGAGTGGTACAATCGATAATACAACTGGTGAGCATTCATAGGATCGTCGGTGTCAATCATGCGACTGAGATTATTTCAGGTGATGTTGTCGATCTTCAATATTTCCTCTACAAAGAAGACGTCCAGCGCATCGCTGCTCTCGGTGTCACTGCACATTCTTTCTCGTATGTGCAGTGGAGCCCAGTCGATGCGACTTTTCTGAACAAAGTTCTGTAGTATCTCGTGGGCGAGGATCTACCCATTTGGCGCCGCCGATTCTCCCATCAATACCGCTGGCATTGATCACTATTCTGATGGTATGATCTCGCCATAAAACATCGTAAGTGATGCTGATCGTTTTCACTGCAGTCATAGATTACCATTGGGCGAATAATGTAGAGCCTGTTGTAACATTGTGTAAGGCTCTCTTTGTTGCATCCAATATACCGTATTTACCACCAGAGAAAAAGTTCATTGGGACATGCCTGTCGCCCTTCAGGCTTACTACGGGGCTTTCACATCACCAGAAATAGTCGACGACTTTGTAAAGTGGGTGCTAGAAGGACAGGATGGTTTTTATGCTTATGGGATTTTCAGCTATGCCAAGACTATATTCAAGGCGTACAATGGCCGTGTTAGAACATGGTTGGTGTTCGTAATTTCTTGTTACTGTAACAAGCTTAACTGCTCTAGGTTTACGTTCAATGAACCGAATAATTACTGTAGCCAGATCTCATCCTATCCTTTCAGTAACCATTCTGTATATGGAACCTACCTTCGCAAGCTTATCGTTATGACTAGATGTTACACTTGCTCTTGGTGTAAACTCCTCTACTGCCCCTTATCAGTGCGCATACAATCTATGTATGTTCTGCATGTTCCTTCCTCCTACCCCCGATCTTGATACTAGTATTTATAGTAAGGGCACATGCAGGAGCCGTCAAAGGTCTGTACACGCATCGCGATAACTTGAAAACGCCACTCACCCATCCGTTTCCTCCTAGCATTTCGTGAAATGAACATATCGGGAGAGATTGGCTTCAAAAACTCCGGCTACATGTAACCATAACCTCTTCTCCCGCTGTTATCTATTGAACATCCTCCAGAGGCACACCATGGAGAAGCAACTCTACCGAGGACGCACTTGCAGTCGAACGTCATGCAGCATTCAACATCGGCATCTTCTCAAACCCTGTATACACAACAGGCGACTGGCCTGACATTGTCAAGGACACCCTCCCGGCCGAGTATCTCCCGCGCTTCACCAACGAGGAAAAGAGTGACCTTCTCGGCTCTGCGGATTTCTTCGCCATTACTTCCTACCGTTCACTATGGATAAAGGCTCCGGACGAAGGAATCGATGCATGCGTGGAAAATCCTTCCGATTCCTTGTGGCCTGCCTGTAATGAACTAGAATACTTTGACTCGGATTATGGCTGGCCCGCAGGTCCTGCCGCCGACCCCGTGGCCACCTCCCTCCAAGCAACACCGCTGGCCATTCGTCCGTTGCTGAAGGGCCTCTACTCTCGCTGGCCAAGTAATAAATTGGTGAGCGTGAGGATCTTATAATGACAGTTTCTGACCGTTGGTGCGCAGTATGTCTCCGAATTCGGCACCTTGGAGCCCTTTGCCTACGCGAATGCGGATATTTCTCAAATAAAGGAGGATGTGGGCCGAACGAGTGCGCATTTGGACCCAATTTATCCTGATTATTTGAAGATTCATCTGATACTTCCAGACTACCTCCTCACGTACCTCGGTGAGATGTTGCTGTCCATACATGAAGATGGTGTACCGGTACAGGGTGCTTTCGCTTGGGGTTAGCTCTATCCACACAGATCGTAATAATATGCAATGAGTCGCCTGTAGGAATGCTTGATGATACAGAATGGTTAGGAGGGACGACCGTCAGGTACGTACTCATTGTTTTGGGTTTAGAGATTTTTCGGTTTGAGCATCTCTGTAGATACGGTATCCAGCACGTCGATTACACGACACTGGAACGGACGTACAAGAGATCGGCACTGTCCTTGGGTGAGTTAGACGATGTCTCTCAATCAGCAGGAAGATTTATAAATACGAATAGCGGAATTCTTTGGGTCGCATCTTCAAGGCTGAGGTGAAAGCTATACTTAGTGTAAGTAATATAGTCAGTTGGTTTCAGTTGAGTGTGAATTCGAGAACAGGGGATCGGCGTCTTCTATAGCACAAACGAAGACTAACAGTCAACAAGGCCGCACAGAAAGACAATAGTATATCATTCCCATTTCGATCATTGTTGCGGTCCTTTTCTTCAACGCTATCTTTATCCTTGTTCTTTAAACACGATTGTACTTGTGAAGATGGATATGTTGAGTTAGTATCGAGAAAGACTTCTCCGACATCTGGTTTAAATTATCTAAGTGGGTGACTATTGGAAATCCTCGGTGTTGCGCAGGGTAGACTCCAGGCTGGTAAGGCCAGAAAGAATGAACTTCTTATTCTACAGCTTCTACAGAGCTTGTATTTATATTCTCCAGGCTTGTATCTAGAA